TCTTCCGATCTTAAGCCTTCCCTGGCACAACTTCCGTGCCATCCTCTTGGCTCTTCTCACTGGCCCCAAGACTGAAGGCAAGCCTGAAGGCAAGACTGCCTGTCCCTCAGTCTTCCCCTCTTGAGGACACTGCAGGCTGCCACAGGCTCCTTCCACGTGAAAAACCCAGCAATTGCACCAAATTGAGGGGAGCTGGGACGCAGGAGCTTGTGCTTTGCAATGATGACGAGGAGGAGAAGGAAGGCTAGCGACACATCTTGGCTGAATTCTTTTTCTCTGGGCCATTGTTTTGCTCTCTTCCAGGTGCAAAGGAGAGGCACAATGAAAAGGAAAGCAAGAGCCCACACTGGACCGTGAGTTTTGCCCTAGGGATTAAAGAGCGGCAAAGCTGAGGAATGGCGAGGAGGAGACCTGTCATTCCACAGTTGGGCTGGGATTGCTTCAAGCCTGTCCGTGGCATGTGTCTCTTGACCACTTGCCCTTCTCCCCTCCACTCCCTTTGCCCTTTAGACACATCAGGGTTGGCAGTGACTTTCAGGCTGAGCTCCCCGAGCTGCAGACCACAGCAGCGAGTGAGGAGGAAGAGCATGCATCCCTGGTCTGGAAGCCTTTGGAGGAAGATGACTCTGACATGGGAAAACCTGACAGAGGTAGCTGCCAAGCTTTTCTTCCAGCCCTGAGATACCTCGGCGTGTCAAATGCTCCTTTTTGTTGGTAAAAGGCAGCTTTTGGCATGCTCTGCATCTCTCCTTGTCTCACCCATCTTCTCCCATGGGAGTGTTAGAGGCAAGGGGAATGCTCCATTCTTGCAGCAGAGCGGGAAAAAGAACAACTTGCCGCCTCTCCCTACCGGTCAGGGGCATTGGCCACTGGAAGGGGAGAGATTGGCCCCTGCCTCTTATTCCAAAGGCTGCTTTCAAGGGAGAGCCAGCACTACGTGGGCCCTTGGTTCAGCTGCCCCTTTCTTTGCTATCCTTTCCATGCTCTCCAGCCGCTTGGCTGTCTTTAGCTCTTGCGCTTTCCTTCTCCCTTGTATTGCAGCCTTTCCCCTTTCTTCCTTCAAGCCTGACTTTCAGTGGGTTTGTGTTGTGCTTGCAGTAAGACAGCTCTTGGACATGGCCAGCGCCCGTGGCGTTTCCGGGCCAGCGGCTAACCTGGAGCTGGCCCTGCACTGCCTGCACCAGGCACGCGGCAGCCTTCCGGTAAGAAGCGGCTCTTTGGGTGCCCAGAAGAGCGGACAGGGAATTCCTAAGGCCTGGGCACTGGGATAGCCACTCCTGGCTGCTCTTTGAAGAAGGGGGGCTAACAAGGAGTGGAGAACTTGCTGCCCGCTGTGTCTCCTCCAGCTACAGCAGAGGCGAGCCCAAATGGCTTGAGCAGGGAGAATATCTCTCCTGGAGGCGCTGCTGGCAGCTCCCACAGCCTGCTCCCTTGTCGATCTCCCGCACATCTGTGTGCTCTAACACATTCTGCGGGGAACTGAGGGGAAATCCCCACAAGCCTCAGTGAGCGCAGGCAATTCTGGCTTCAGGAGAAGCATTGAGGTGGTGAGCAACATGCCACGCTTTGGCAAGTTGGATCAAAGGCTTGGGCAGTAAAAAGGAAGGTTTGGGAGCAACCCCCAGTGTTGAACCCATAGGAGATCCAGCGGGCTGAACCCCTGAAGAGGCAAAGTAGCTGAAAGGTAGCGGCGTTGATGGTTTGTTGGCTCCTTTCTATGGCGGGGAAGCTAAAGCCTTTTTCCCTTTGATCTTGCAGGAGGCTCTGGACATGTTGCTCTCAGGGGGGCCTCCCACACCTCAAGGCCACCCCTTGGCTGATTATCATTACACAGGTAAGCCAAGCACAGCTTGTTCCTTCACTGACAGATACTGCCTGCCGTCCCCTTAATTGCCATGGCAAGCATTTGTGCTTCAACTAATAACGCCACCACAAGGCCTCCTCTTGCCTGGGGCAGGGGAAAGCAGCAGCATCTCCCCCTTCAGCTTGCATTGCAGTTTTCCCTGGGGTTGTTTTGGGGTTTTTTTTCCCCCCTGGAGAATGCCTGCTCCTGTCTCCATTATTCCCAAGGGAGCAGACATGTACGCAGGTGAATGGTGGATGGCGCCAATTTTGTTTTGGCAGCCAGTGGCATCTACTGCAAGTGGATGGAGGCATCAATTGACCTGCTGCTTTTCTTGCCAGACTCTGACAAATGGACACCTGAGGAGAAGGAGTCCTTCGAAAAGGCTTTTCACACCTATGGCAAGGATTTTCATCTCATCCAGAAGCAGGTAAAGCCATAGGACATTGTTTTAAACTAGCAGATCATCAGGAGGAAATGTTGATTATTTCTGCTACCAAATACTGGAATCCAGTCTCTCTCTCTCTCTTCTCAAATCCCAAGAAGAATAACATAATAATGAAACGGGATATCAAAGGCCTGCAAGAAAGGGCTGATTCTGCCTCAAAGGCCCTTTCCTCCAAGTCTTTCCAAAGACAAAGGCTTCTTCTGTCAGATTTGGTCTCCTAGGTGCGCCGATGCTTCCGCAACACACTGTGTTGGGAGAGCTGGAGTGAATGGGGGAAAGAAAACCTGTGCTACACGGATTTGTTGTTGATCTCTGCATCGCATGCGTTCCCACATAGCGTAATACACTGTATAATACACACTGCATAATGCCTCTTTTACCCGCTATTTACTTCATTTTACACCCTACTCAATTTACGCCGTGATTTTGCTTCCTAGGTGACTCCAGAACTCTGCTTTTTCTCCAATGCACCCTACAGGATGGCCATTTTAGAGTCCTTCTTTTTCTCTTCCCAACAGATTCAGAGCAAGACTGTGGCCCAGTGTGTGGACTACTACTACACCTGGAAAAAAGAATATAAACTTGCCAAAAGTCTTGCTCAGGTGAGTGGGAAGAAAATCAAGACAAGCCCGGAGGGTGGAGAAACTGGGAGAAGGGGACTAAACCTGCTGGCAAGCCTGTGAGACACTGCTCTGCCAGGATCACATTGTCCCATCCACTGGAAAGGCGCAGCAGATGCTGCCCAGGCCTTGTTGGTGCTGCTGCTCTTATGCTCTTATGGAGCATAACTTTGACCCAAGAAAGCAGCACTGTCACCAAACTGGGCTTGGACGCTCTTCTCAAGAGCTGGTACCCTCCCTGATTCCAATCAGATCCTTCATTCCCCACTGCTTGCTAACATCAGTAATGCTGGCTGCGCTCGTGGAGATTCTGCAGATGTTCAGGGACCTTTTGTAGCATGCCAGTCGACTCCCCAAAAAGGAGCTGCCCGTGCTGTGGCTCTGCTAAAACTTTCCTTACTGACAAACCAGAATTTGCTTCACAGAGAGAGAGAGAAAGAGATTAGTTTGGGCAGTAGAAACTGGGTAGCTGTGTGTCTTTATGAATTTGGCTGAATTTAAAAGCCATTCCCTGGACAGGGAGGAGAACTAGGGGTAAATAGATGCTAGGCAGAGAGGTACAATTAAGAAATGCAGAACTATAGATAGGCACGTATTGATCCCACCCCTTCAGGCCGTAGAAAGGAGGCGTTTTTTCCTCCAAGTGCTGTGTTTGCATTGCGCTGCAGCCTGCCCCCAAATCCAGCTGTTTTCCCAGCTCTTTAGGCTTGGGAGGAATTTGCTTAGGCCCATGGATTTTGGCGCTGGATGCTCTGATTTCCAGCTTTGTGAGAGGAAGGAAAAATTGATAAGGATTCTTTGATTTCCAGACTGTGAGCGAACCAAAGAGGAGCCAAAGCCCTCCCAGAAAGGAGAATGGGGAGACAGGGAAGAGAAGCCGCAAGAGGGCCCGCAACGCGGAGTGTCCCTGCTGCCAAGCGCCCCAGCCACCCCATTTGGCGGGAGGCCCCTTTCCCTGCGGCCAGTGCAAACGGTGCGCAAGTTCTACCTCTTTCTGCTCAAAGCCTGCGCCTTTGGACTAAAACAGGCTGACCGTGTTCAAAGGCACCACGGGGGAAGCTGAGGGCACTCGCAGGATCACCTCTCACCGCCGTGCAAAGCCTTACAAGCCACTTGCACCCCAAAGAGCTTGGTTAAAGCCCAGCGTTCCCAGGGAAACCTTGCCGTGCCCCACCAAGACACAATTCGAACACAAGTAGGAATAGGGAGACCAAAGCTTGCTTTGATGGTGCTGACCAAATCAAAAATAAGATGAAGCAAAAGGAGGAAGACGTTTGAAGGAACTGCAACCAGAAAGATCAGGTTTATGCTTCTGATCAATTTACAGAGGTGCCACAGCCAGAAAAGACAGAAATTCACAGAGACATGGAAATCTTGGAGCTTGGTTTAATGGGGTGTATTGAATTAACAATGGATGGTTTGTTTCCTGTCTTCCAGGGTGTTTGAAACCGTCAAGGAAAGGAACGCACATCGGAGAAGCCTTCGCCCACGGAAGGAAGCAGGGCCTCTCCCCAAGAAGAAAAGACCAAATTAACCCTGCCGCTTGTCCGGGCCTCACAAGAATTATCTGCCAAATGGCTCTAGATAGAAATCAGATTGTTTTTTCAGTAGTTTATTAGGATTGTTTATTGTTAGATTATTAGATTCGATTACTAGTGACATTTCTCAATTTGTTAGTTGAGATTCATTAGCTTTCTTAAAGGGTTATTAGGATTATTAGATTATTATTGTGATTAGATTATTTGATTATTCGATTCTTAGGTTATTAGGTTATGATATTTTTATTGTTAGATTATTAGATTAGATTATTACCTTGTTAGATTATTATCCGTCAACGGAAGGGGTTTGGTCCATTATTAGCTTATTAGATTATTATTGTTAGATTATTATCGGTCAATGTAAGAGGTTTAGTGTTGCTCGTTAAGCTCCATCTTTCGTAAGCATCTTGTTTTCATGAAGACAAAATCTGTCTTTCTCATTAAAGCAAAGTTTGTTCCATTTGGTCTTTTTGTCTGTATGAAATCACTCAAGCAATGTCTGTCCCATTTGTTTGCTGTTGCACACACGCTATTGGCCCTGAGAAGAATCTGGGCACATGCATCCTCCCACAGGCCCAGCCCCTTGCACAGCTGGCAGGACCTCCAAAGGTGTCTCCCCATTGTGCCAATGAAATAATGATGGGCTTTCATCCTTGGATTCCTAAAAATCTCAGCTTGGAATGAAAAGGAAGCCTTGGTTTAATTCAATGAATCGGATCTATATGAGTGGGCTTGTCTCATTCTACTTGGAGGGGATAAAAGCTGGGGCTTGTAGTACTTTTGGTCCACAAGCAACATAGCTTTGTTCCATTTTGCTGGTCAGATGGACTTGGCCACCTTCAAGGACTTTTCCAACCTCTGCCATTCTATAAAATTAACATCCACATGCACTCCCAAGAAACCAGCAGCTCACTTTCAGCTTCCCTTTCAAAGAACAGCCTCCTGCTCTGGGCCTCGACCAAGCTCCTTAGATCAAGCAAAGCGGGAGTGAACATTATCCTCTCACTTCTCACACCTTTGGTATTTACACCAAAGGAGCAGGAAACTCGCTCCTTTTATCGAGCCCAGCAAATGGCATGGCCTGGCAAGGTCTTGGGAGCAGGGGCTGGGGAGAATGGAGACGAGATGAGGGAGGGGGGAACTACCAGGCTGGTTCTGGGATGCTGACGCAAGCTTGCTCTTGTCTGACGGAGCCACTGCAGGTGGGATTTGGGGCCTCCAAAGCATCTGCTTTGCAGTGGGCCTTGTTACAGCTGCCCCCTGGCTTTGTTGCTCTGTGTGTGTGTGTGTGTGTGTGTGTGTGTGTGTGTGTGTGTGTGTGCAACAAGCAGGCTGGGAAGGAAGCAAGATTTGCTTTTGCCTAACATTAGGCAGGAAAGCAGTAAAACAGGCTCTGTTTCGCCCTATCTGGGACCTAAGTAGTAAAACAAGTGGGAAGGCCATTCGTGTGAAAAAGTAATTCTGTTTGTGCTAGTCTCCCAGCCTTTTGAGAGTAACATCTCATTTCTGCAAGGGAGCTGGAAGAAAGAAAAAAGGAATTCTGCATTAAATGTTTGCTAGGGAATTGCTGGTGGAGTGTCCCCATCAATTCCCCTGAAAAACACCCTGTTTCTCCAAGTTTCAGGGAATGACGGTTGAGGTGAGAGGCTGCTCAGCTCAAAGGCAGGGAAACATCAAGAGACATCATTAGACATCAGACAGTTTATAAAGGGGGCTGGATGAATGCTTCCACTTTGAGAGAAAGCTGTGGAGCTGCCTCTCCACTGAACGACTGGCAGGCTCTTGCTCCTCTCGCAGCTGGAGCAGAGCCAGGGCCAGGATCCTTCTGCTTCTCCAGTGCAGACAATGTGCTACGGGCCCTTTGACAGAGCCAGGCTCCTGTTCAGCTGGAGGCACCTTCCAGAGAAGCACGCAGAAGACCCAGGGCTCTCCCTGCACTGCTTTGCCCTGTCCACAGGTCTAGCGAGAAATGGCCCAGTGGGCAGGTCCTCAGGGCAACCTTGCAGCAGCAGAAGTAAAAGAGGCCAAGGTGCCCCATCCCTGTTTGTGTCCCCTGGCTCCCCTGGCTCCCCTGGCTCCCCTGGGCATGGAATGTTGGGCTGTGCCCATAGCAACTGTCGTCGTTGTCTCCCACTCCTGTGGCCGTTGGTGGAACACTGGTGCTGGACCAGCGCTGGAGCAGCAGCTGCAGGATCTGCACCA